AGTGTTTAATGTAGGTTTTTTGAGCAGTGGGGTTATCCGAGCCTGCTTGAATGCAGTGGGGAAGGTGCCTGGGAGGAGAGATGTATTGATGATGTGTGTGAGTGCTGGTAAGAGTGAAGGAGAGATTGCTTGGAGGAGGTGTGAGGGGATTGGGTCTAGAGGGCATGTTGTAGGATGGCTGGAGAGCAGAAGTTTTGATACCTCTGTCTCAGTGAGGGGACAGAAGGAGAAGATGGGAGTTTTTGGAGTGGGTGGGGTTGGTTTGAAGTCCTGTGTGTGTGGGGCTGAGAATTGGCTACTGATTGTTCTGGTTTTGTCTGTGAAGAATGTGGCAAAATCATCAGCTGTTATAGAAGTGGTAGGAGGTGGTGGAGGGGGACAGAGGAGAGAATGGAAAGTTTTGAAGAGATTACGTGTGTCTGGAGCGCTGTTGATCTTGTTGTGGAAGTATGAAGATTTGGCAGTATGGACTTCAGCAGAGAAAGATGAAAGCAAAGACTGATACATACTGAGGTCTGACGGATCTTTTGATTTGCACCATTTCCTCTCAGCTGCCCTGAGTTTGGTCCGATGTTCACGAAGAACATCGGATAACCAGGAGTTCGAGGGGGCAGCCCGTGCTGGCCTGGAGGAGAGAGGACAAATATCATCTAGACAAGAGGTTAAAGTAGAGCATAAAGTGTCAGTTGCTGCATTCACATCCAGAGATGAGAAATGGGTAGGTGAGGGAAGAGAGGAGGATACAACGGAGGAAAGATGGGAGGGGGAAGGGGAGCGTCGTTTGAGATCAAATGAAGCAAGGAGTGAATGGAAGTCTGTAGCATAAGGCTTGTCCAGATGAATGTTGAAGTCGCCAAAGACTAAAAGTGGACTGCCATCCTCCGGGAATGAGGACAGCAGCCCATCCAGCTCTTCTAGGAAGGTGGATAGAATTTGCCCAGGAGGGCGGTAAATTACCACAACCTGGAGTTTTACGGGAGCTGTTATAGTGATCACATGAGATTCAAATGAGTTGTAATTGCATAGGGGAGAGTGGGTTGAGTATTTCCAATTGTTAGAAATGAGCAGACCAGTGCCCCCACCCCGGCCAACCTGACGGGGGGTATGAGAGAAAGAGAAATTGTTCGAAAGAGCAGCTGGGGTTGCTGAGTCTTCTGGACGAATCCAGGTCTCAGTCAAGCCCAAGATGCTAAGTGTGGAGTTTAAAGAAAAAGAAGAAATGAAGTCTGCTTTGTTGACAGCTGACTGACAATTCCAGAGACCCATAGAGAAAGAAAGAGGTGTAGTAGAGGATGTAGAGATAGGATGCAGGTTAGCAACATTTCGTTGCCGTCTGCGTGTGACCGTAGAGCGTCGTCGAGAGACAACCGGAATGGTTTGGAAACACATGATAGAGGTGGGAAAGAGAGGACAGAAAAGGAGAGTGTGTACAGGGAAGAGCAAAAATATACTTATACTTAAGTGCCTGGGCAATTTCGTTGCTCGGTGAAGTCGCGCAGGTAAAGTCGCGGGTCTTTACCCTCGTTGGTCTTCACACGAGGAGGCCTGAACGCTTCCGCTGATGCTTCCGCGTCAGCGCACAGACATCAGATAAATACACAGTCTAAGACACTACAGTGAAAACAGCTGTGGCCGCCTTCTAATTAGCACAGCCAATAGTCTATAGCAGGGCAATTCCTCCAATCGAAACTACAGTTTGCACTTCAACGCAGGAAGGGAGCAATTAAATTACACGCGCTCCTTCTTAGCCGAGGGCAGTTATTATAACATATAACGTATTAACATACAGACATCTGTTTCCACATCTCACTGAGAGAAGATGCGGGGAAAATTTCTTTGCATTTGTTCCTTTTCATCCACTTTCTTCCCTTCAGTCAGCTCACTCAGAATGGTCAATAGCATAATATAAATGTTTAACATGAATGCAAGTGATATTCACAATCATGTCTTGATATAATTTGAATTGTCTCGGGGCGACTGGTACAATGGTCTTAATATTACAAGAAGTAGACTAAAAGGTAATACAGTTCCTAAGAGTTAGAGATATTTTGCTCACTGTAGAGGGTGTGTCATTTCCCAGTGACTTTCATGCAAATCACCCTCTGTCCCCAAAAGGTGCAAACTCTCCACGTCAAGAACTTGATTAATGCAAATTCCAATTCCTAGTTCCTGTCTCCATTTGGAGGATTTTTGTCTTGGTCTGAGTACTTAAGGCTGGCTGCACACTAGATGATTTTAAAATCTTAAACGATTTTAAAACCATGGGAGACCACAGACAAGACCGTTTCAACCGATTTTTACAAAAAGTTGTTTTCAAGTTAAGCAAAAGCCAGAGAAAAAAATATGTTTTAAGAGATTTTTTAAAAGTAGATAACGTAGGGTACGATCTGGTGGATAATGGTAGAGAGTTCCAGAGCATAGGACCAAGAACTGAAAAAGCCCTGTCGCCTTTAGTTTTTAAACGAGATTTTGGAACAATCAATAACAACTGGGAGGAGGATCTAAGCATTTTTGCTGGAGAGTAGCAATGGAGAAGATCTGAAAGCTAGATAGGGGCAAGACAATGGAGTGCCTTGAATACAAAAACTAAAATCTTAAAATCAACACTGAATTTAACAGGTAACCAATGAAGTGACGTTTACACAGGGGTAATATGCGCAGTCTTTTTTTTGGTCCCTTTCAAAAAATGAGCAGCGGCATTCTGTACCAATTTTTATCTCATGTTTGAATCTTAGTTTTGTTAGTATATCTTCTATTATTGAATCTCTCCGTGTCTCTGGTCTGTAGCAAGTTGTGACAGCGTTAAAGTAATCAAGCCTGGTTGAAATAAATCCATGAATCATAACTAAGAAAGGTTTTAAACTTGCGAAGCCCCTTAAGCTGCAAAAAACTGGCTCTGACTACAGAACTGATTTGTTTGTCAAATCTTAGTTCAGAATCAAGAATAACTCCCAGGTTTTTAACTTTTTGACGAATGTTTTCCTGAAAGGCGCCCACAGTAGGGCTCAAATTATTTAAAAGGTGTGGTGGGACGAACAAAATAACTTTAGTCTTTTTCTGATTTAACTGAAGGAAATAATTTTTCATCCAATTCTTAATGTCCTCTTAACAAGCCAGCAAAAAGGACACTGAATCAGAACCTGATTTTAGGGGGAAATAAAGCTGAGTATCATCTGCATAAATGTGGTATGAAAACTCTGGCTGATGATCAGACTGGCAAGTTTGTCACGGTGAGATCTGCGTAAAATGGTCAACGTGAGACACGGAGCGTCACAGATTCCTAATGAGTAAATATAAAGTAAAGGGTTAACTAGAGTAATTAAGTGTAAGAATAATAATAGGACATAAATGGACAAACAACCAATTTGTATGACAACCTAGATTTGAGGTCATAATAAAATGGAGTCAGATTAAAATTTAAATGAAATGAAATGAATTTACTTTGCACACTGAAAAGAGCGAACATACAGGAAACCTTCAGCCACCATTGGATACCTTCGTTGGGCCAATTGGGTTGACCTTACAAATGTTTAGGTCACGGTTTACTGTGAAATACTGTGTTCATGAATATCTGCTCAGAAGTAGATGTTTATAATGGGCCAACCAATAATAATGTAGCTTCTAAGATATAAATGTTGTTTATGTACTGTGTGAAAACACATGCAAAAGCGTAAGTGCATGTATGACTGTACAAAATCATAATTCTTTTCGTTCTGAATGGGCAATATTAGTATTATTGATCGCTAATATAGTTACTCCTGAAATCAGCATGCTCACATTTGTTTGCTTTTTTTATCCAACGACCAGATACCAGAAAACTGGACCACAAATAAGACAAACTCTCCCATGAGTCTCTTCAAATTGTTTTGCTCTGAGAGTGCTTTACCAACTCAGTGCCACAACACATGCCCAGACTGACAGGACAATTGCAAAGGGTCACAAAGACAAATGGGCAGATGTCAGCATCAGCAAGCTGTACTTCTACATCGGACTGATATTCTACATAAACATGGTTAAGTATGAGCTCCATCACTGAATACTGATGGCGGGGCAGTTTTTTCTTCAGTGGATGGAAAAAGAAGCAGCAAATGCCTAATGGGTAGAAGAGTTGAACTTGTAACCCGAAGGTTGCAAGTTCGAGTCTCAGTACCGGCAGGGATTGCATTTGTTAGTAGACTTCCCTCTCATAATCTAATGGCTGGATTCTACAAACATTGTAAATGTTTATCAGACAATTCAAATACTTTGATATAAATGCATAATTATGAATGACAGTGGAATATGATAAAGTACGGTGACATTTGCTTTTCTATTAGACAGTATAGTACAGAACAGGGAGATTGGGCACTCTTGTGCATCTGCACTCAGATACTGGGTTTCTCAATGCTGTCAAAACAGTACTGTTGATGCTTACTGGCCGAACAGATCAAACGTATTGGCCAATGTTTAATGCCCAAAAAAAAAAAAGCCAAAAATAAACTGATGTAGCATCTTGGTGATTTGTTAAAGGCAAATTTTGGTGAGTTATACCAAGACTTAGGAAGAGAAACCTTGTATTGAGATCCACCAATCAGAACAATCATTACATCAGTGCCTATGATCCACGATTCAAGACTTGTTCCTTTTTATAGAACATACCAGCAACAATTCAAATCTGTCATCCAATATCATGCCAATTTATGATTTAATGTATGCAATAATTTAAAGTATTTTTCATATTTTACTTTATTCATATCATCCCAGACTAGGCATTGGTCAGATTAGACCCCTCGTGGCCTGCAGGTTCTATTTTTGATGTATGGATTTCCAGAAAATAGTCTCCAAAGGAAATCACCATTCAAATTATGCGTTTATAAATCTAGGAGCAATGGTGAGGTTAAGCAGATGTGATCACAAAGAACTTAATGTAATGTGCTAAATGCTTTTAAAAAAAAAGTAAAAAGTATAAAAACCTCCAAAGTATCAGCACTCAATTTTAGACAAACATTACTAGAACAAACCTCAGTATCTCCAGCTGACAGTTTGGACTCTTCAGTCCATCAGAGAGCAGCTTCACTCCTGAATCCTGCAGATCATTGTTACTCAGATCCAGCTCTCTCAGGACAGAGTTTGGAGACTGTAAAGCTGATGACAAACTCTCACAAGACTGACCAGTAAAATTACAGCCAGCAAGTCTATAGGACAAAATATAAATGAAAGTAGTAATTACTTAAACTTTATCACCACATAGTTGTCACGGGTAGATAGGGATAAAGCATACAGCAAAGGGGTAATTCAAAATAGAGTCTTTAATAGATAATTCCCAAGGAAACACTAGAGAACACAGAACACAACTACCACCAAACAACATAAACGCAAGACAAGGGAACAGAGGAAAACACAGGACTTATAAACACAGGAAATATAATCAGTGAGAACAGAAACAGGTGTAGAGCAATGGGTAAATAAGGGAACAGATTAACTGGGAACACAGGTGAATGGGAACACAGAAAATGAACCATAACAGAACAGATACAGAAGTAAGCATGACAATAGTCTTAGCCAAGCACTAAACTGGCACAAATACCATTGTATTGTGAGTATTATTTAATAAAGTATCAATGTCAATGTGCCTTAACTGCAGTGAAATTTAGGTTTTTATGTGAATGTTTAAGGAGTTACCACTTACAGAGCTTTTGTGCAGTTGATCACAGCTGGTACCAGTCTTCTTCTCCCCTCATCTGATGTGATGTATTTCTTGAGGTCCAGCTCATCCAGCGGCTCCTCTGACATCTGAAGAATGTAGGCGATTGTTGAGCAGTGAGCAGCAGAGAGTTTCTTCTCTGAGAGTTTGTCTGATTTCACAAACTCCTGAATCTCTCTGGACAGAGTCTGATCTTTCACTTCCAGCAGACAGAGGAACAGATTGATGGATCTTTCGGTGGAGAGTCCATGTCCATTTTTGATCTTCTCTTTAATGAACTGTGTGGTTTTCCTGATGCTCTC